GGACGTGTAGATCTATCAAAAAAAAAAAATAAGAATGGAACCGCGAACGATAAAATTAAAAAAATTACAGCGAAAAAGGAAAAATTATTGAAAAAACCGAAAACAAAGCTTCCTTTCCAAGGAAGCAAAAATGGGCAAATCAAATTAAACCGTTTAAGAAGCTTTTATTGATTAAAATGAAATAATACGTAAAAAATATTAATTAATACTTAGGGATGATTTCATGAATCCATTCAGAAGTGCAATAAAAAATTGGAATGGGAAAGGTTTAATGATAAGAGAAGATCGAATGTAAAAGAAATTTTCTTTATTGAGCAAAAAAAATAATTTTTTGTGTGTTTTTGATCATGTTTTCATCTACGTTTTTAAAATTCAATCACTGAGCTTATTCTGGGTTTATCGTACATGTCCTTTACGTGCGTCGCCGCTTCAACATCTCGCCATAGCGTATAGTAGAACAATGAAAACTTCGTTACAGAGGTCCACAGCACATGTCAAACTGACGATAAGCCAAGTATGACTCTGTAGCCACAAAAAAGCAGGTCATTTCTTTGTTAGATGTTCTGTTAAAAATGAAAATAATTTTTTTTTGAAAGTCGTTACTTGAAGACAAATTTTAAACTCCGTATTTTTCATTGCAACTTCAAGTGTAGGATAATCCAAGTGGTCTGGAAGAATAAGAACTGTAGTGATCTAACGTGTCACGGCAACAACGATTTTCAGTCACATTTATTGTAGTATATTTAAAATATGTTCTATTTAAAAATTGCTTAACTGTTCTACATCATTTTATGGAATTGATTTTTTTTATCTGTTATCCGTAATAAAGAAAACGTTGAATTTAATTTGTATTCTTTGTCTCTGTTCGGTATATACGAGGATAGATCGTACACAGCAAGATCGTTTACAGCGAGAAAGGGAGCAGCAATCGGTTTCGTTCTCCACTTCTATCTATTTGATGACGGGTGCTGACGACGCTGTGCGACGGTGACGTCTTACTTCGAGTTAGACTCTCAATATGTATACGCGTTCACGCCTTTTCGTTGTTTTGCTTTAGTACTAAGTTTTTTTAGTTCGATTTCGTTTTTATATTAACAAGCTCGACGATATCAATTAAATCTCAATGGGTTATAGGTCCAACGCGCTTCCATTACGTGCTGAAACTTTTCTGGATCTTTAGGTACTTGGTGGAATAACTCGCGAGTGAAGGTGCTGATAAGTTTGAGAGTTGTTTTTAGTTGAAAGGTTGGAAGTGTTTGATTGTATTCTGACAAGGTCCTTGTTCCCGCGCAACAGCAGTTCGAGTTGAAAGAATGGCTGAATCAGTTGGAAAGAGTTTTAGTTTACCCAAATCGAGAGACAAGAGAATCACTACGCTGTTTCTGTTTCTCCAAGTCCAGGAGCTAAGGATATCCAACGACTATCCAAATGAAGCCTTTTATCTAGAATTGTATGAGGTGGGATACGTTTGTATTAGAAAATCATGCGGTTTTAAATATGAAATAGGTAACATTTTGAATGAGTAAACAAGCTTGGATATAAAAATCCTATTTTTAAATAAATAAATATGTACATATTAAAAAATTTTTAAATGCATGCGATTTAGTTTCAAATAATTGTGTTGGCCGAAACATGCAATATAGTGTATGTTGTTGTTGCTACACTGTATATGCTATAAGATCACAGACTGGAAAATCAGATGGAACAATGAGTATTGTTCTTTTTATTGCTGTTCATTAATTGAGCACATGCTTAATATAAATTTGCTATATGTGATCGACTGCTTTAATTTAATTGTTGTTCACTAAAATCAGGCATCACATTTATAAAACTGCTTATAGATGATTCTTTGATCGAGGAGCAACTTTTGGAGTTCATAAAACAGGAGAGATCAAGAGGAATCACACTGAAGGGATGGCTTCAACTACAGAGCTTTCCCCGAGTTAATACGAGGAGCCTGGATCCCCTAAGCTGGAAAGTGGGAAAGAAATGCCTGACGGTGGGCTGGCTACGAAATTTAATTGTGTTGATACAGGTAGAGTATCGGAGGAATAAAGCTGGAAGGAGAAGGTCGAATCGCAAATGCGACGTAAATTCACCCTAGTTATTAAAATGAATCAACCTGTAAAACTGGATTTGAAATCGAATAAAATTCTTCAGGGAATGAGGACAAATAAATTTGAACATTTTTCGATTAATAGAACCGATAAAAATGTTGAATTTTCAGAAATTATTGACAAGATGGACAAGTTGGAAAGGGAAAATCAAGAGCTGCAATTACAGATCGAAACGAAATGTAATTATGTACACGACGACGTATCTCTAGAGCTCATTGAATACAAATATACAATGAATAAGAGAATTAGCTTAATAGAGGAGAAGTTAGTTCACTGAGCAGACAAAGATGCTTTGTAATTAAAAGCGCAGATAAACAAAGCTGGAACAACTCAAATCGGATCGCTGAAAGAGACGACAAATGATTCTATGATACAAAGTAACACTACTGCAGGTGTAAGTAAAGAATTTATAGAAAAAGTAGTTCGGAAGGAAATAAGTAAGATCAATTCAAATCATGAAAATAGAAATATCCATAATCGAATTTTTGTTAAAGTAAATCCTCGTGAAAATCACATTCGACAAGAATACAAATTGACACGAAGCTTAAATGTAGATACATTTATAGATTATTTAGGCTCGGATATTGACTCTTTCTGATTTGTTGTACATAATTGATAGGAATGCAGGATCGGTGCAAATAACTGATGAAGCCAAGCTAGAAAAAGAAAGTTCGAGATCGAGATATTATAATAAACAGGATAGATATAACGCATTATGATAAAGTGTCAGATATTCGCGATTCTAACGAGATTATTAAACAAATAAAATGTATAAAGGAAAACGAGATAAATATGACTACTACAAGCTTGAGAAAACAGCTGTATAATATAAGATATAATCTTAATAAGGAAAAGGCATCTGCATTTTAGAGTAGAGTTGATAATGTAGTTCGATTGTATAATAAATTGCCCGATAAACCTCCATTGTCCGAAATAGAAATACGGGACGCGTTCTTTGAAGCAATTGTTGTAAACTTGCCTACTGTCAGGAAGTCTGAGTTTTTTAACAAAAATGCTACAGGCAAGTTGTTAACATTGGATCAACTAAAGGATTATATTATTCAACAAGAATCAGTTCGATCGGGATTTAGAAAAAATAAACCAGGAAACATGGTTTGTTAAGTTCGATGATAAGAATAAGATCTTTGAAGCGGAGGGTGAGAATCGGAAGAGTTGTCGAGTTTGTCGATACTTAATACACACAAGAAGCTTGGGCCTTAAGTTCGAAGGAAAGTTTGATGACTTGTAAGGTTTTTCAGATGAAAGGTTTACTGATTGTAAGGATTCAATTACATTAAGTGGATTTATAATCAAACTATACGGTGATACAGTGTCATGAAAAACCCATAAACAATCTTATGTTGCCCTCTCAACCTGCCAGGTTGAGTATATGGCAATGAGTGAGACTTGTCAGGAAAAAGTTTTCTTCCAAAATTCGCTAATTCTGATTACGGAAAGGTCAATTTTGCCCATGACTCTTTAGTACGACAACAGAGCTGCTGAGGCTAGCACTCAGATAGGTAGTACGAATAAACACAGACACATGACTGAAGTTCGAGAATATTATGTCCAAGAATGCGTAGCCAGAAATCTAATAAAAATGAGTTGGATTAAGCTTAAACAACAAATAGCTGATATGTTCACAAAGCTCTTAACTTTTGAGTTGCATGCTAGATTGACTATATTAATACTAAATAATGAATTGAAATATTAATGTTGATATATTCTTCTTATTTTGTTCCAGACGCTAAATCATAAGCTCGGCGGCAATGTCATACCTTTGCTTGGGAGAGAATGTTGGGTATATACAAGCATAGATCGCACACAGTGAGAGAGAGCAGCAGCAATCGCAAGCAATCGGTCTCGATCTTCCCTCCTTTCTATCTAACGACGGGCGCCGACGGCGCTGTGGCGACGATGAAGTATTTTCGTTGTTTTGCCTTAGCACTAAGTTTTTTAGTTCATTTTCGTTTTTATATTAACAAGCTCGACGATATCAATTTTAATAGTCTCATGTCATTTCTATTAAGAATACACAATAACTATCATGTCATGCTTTTATTCCTGTTAATGAAAAACATATTATATTATATTATATTAAATATCTCGTACTGAGTGTAATTTTATAGAATATAGGAATAAATATATGCGAAAATATGTTCTAATCCAGAGTTTTTTAATGTGTTCAATTAATTTTAATCAGTCGATCATGTAGTTTTAGTATTATTGAAAATGTAGTTTTGCTCAAACGCTCAATAGAACAAAGTGGCAAAGTAATTTGGACTTTCATATAACTATTCTTTTACCCTACATTTCGATTTAAGTTAATTTTTATTTAAGACTATAATAGTAGTATTTCTGACAACACAAGACTGATTATTTCAACAATGACTCGCATATTAAAGTCACTTAAGCTTTGGATAGAATAGTTATTATTAGTTCTAAATAGTGAAAGATGAGCAAAGAGACACGACATGTTTGTTTGTAATGAATATTCAACTTTTTTAAAAAGTCCAAATTAGTTGAAGATCGGAAGCACACAAATAAAGGCAAAGTCATCAATACATAGTTAATTTTGCGATAGAACAATAAAGTACCAACATATTACAGTACATTTTTATTTGCCGACATTCTAGTTTAGATGTAAGCGTATTTTTGTCCATTACATTTTAAAGTCTTTACCTATTAATCATTGTTTAAATGGTCTTGTATACGCCGGAATTCAGTTAAAAGTTACGTAAAAACTGTCAATAATAATTAGTAAATGTTCACATTTTTCTTCGTATTGATTATCAGATAACAAATAATATTGATATTCTCGATATATTAAATAAACAGAATAAAATTTGAGCGAGAGTGATTAGAATATTGAAGTGATTTTATTATACTATCGACTAGCAACACAATTATACACATAGATTGCTCTGCATTTTATGTGATGCAAAAACCTTTAATTAATAACTCAATTTGTTCAGAGGAAGCTAGTATGTTCTAAATGTTGCTCAGACTATTCATGTAGATTCGATTGTTGATTCATCATGTCAACGATGAGAGCACTGTTACGTATGACATAGCTGATTTGAAAAGCTACAATGAACATAATTGATGAGATTTGAATAAGATTGAGCTTGAAATTGTATGTGTGTAATATTTACTAATAGGAAGTTTTCCATATTCATGATATAAAATCCTCCGGCGGTGAAATAAAAAGGTTCCATACTACGTTGCATGATAAACATCAAAAGTTTTTGGCATTCGATGGAGCAGTTGTACCATTCATTATTATACCTGAAATTAAATATTTAATCGCTCATTATGTTTTGCTTTTGAAATAAATCACGTACGCCGCAAAAAATACGTCATTGCTGCTATCAATCATCTTCTGTCCAGGCCAGCTTAAATAAAACATGTGTATAGTAAATCCTATGCTGAGCAAGAGGGCTCTGAACAGTAGCACCGGCTTTTGGAAACTCAAGAGAATCTACACGCAAATAAAAGAACAAATACCAAGAATTTAATTCAACAGCCAGCATGTACTTTTAGAATTTTACGTACAGTAACTACTGCTGCTGCAAGTACTAATACATTGGCAATCATAACAGCCAACAAACTTGAAGAATATGATAATTCTAAAATGTGACTGAAACTATAACCAGCGATTAATTTTATTCGTTAAATCATATTTTTTTCTATGGTATAACTGTTTCGAAAACTCATCGATAAAATTATGAAATAAACTTAACTTCAAAACTTTTTCATGAAGTTCAGCAGATTTGATAATCGCTTCATAAGCGGCGTCGTTCGTCCGATAACTAATTAATTTCAATTTGTTGTTCCATTCTGTTGCACATGCTAAGCGTTGCCTGAAAATTATGAATCAATTTTTATAATGCAAAAGGTTTAAAATTTACGTGTTTCAATAAACAACTATATGACTGGACTAAACTTATAAAGACCAAAATTTCTAAAAGATATAAGTAAAATATCTATATATTACTTACTTAACCACGTCAAATAAACCGATACACTGCTGTATACATACTGCGTATGTCGAATCAATTGTAAATATCAAAGGTATACTTGCAAGAATAGTAAAAGTTTCGAATAAATAGATAGGGTAATAATATTCTTCTCTATCTACGAAATACTCTCCCTCGAGTACAAACATTAGCGGTTGAGATTTATCAAAAATATGATAAGCGAATGGTAAAACCAAAAATAATAAACCAGCTGGCACCATATAGCCTGAAATAATAATCACTTCAATAGTGCGTTGATAAAATATATCTAAACTAATCAATGTATTCGATCAAATATATATCTAACCAATATAACAAATTGTTAATAATCTTCCCAGTTCCGAAGATTCCTCAAGAATTTTCTTTTCAGTTTCATTTTTTAACATATTCCAATTTTTTACCATATTTGCGTACAAAAACTTCAACTGAAACAAAACAAAGTAATCATCAGGTCAAGTTATATTATCGGAATATATTATCGGAATATATTATCGGATCGCATTTGCGTTACCTTAGATTCTGAGAAGATCACTCCAAAAAATTTCATGCCTATTCCGAAAATATAAACTAAGGTTCCGACAGCTATGATTAACCTATCTGTATTTTTTCTCATTTGAACAGCTGCAATGATCTACAATAAAAGTTTAGAAATATCATCAGTCCTTGTTAATATAACATTTTTTAAACATACTAGATAATTAAACTAAATATATTCGTAATCCGCTTTGTTGTACAGATAAATACACCATTGATTTTATTTTCATTGGAGCATGGAAATTTCTTAATATTCAATATTACAATATTTATTTTCAAAGTTGTCGGTAAAAATTTTATGTTAAAATTTTTAATAAATAATATTAATGAATTAATAAAACCATTACCTATGATCATTAGACATTCAAAATCATCATTCAACTTTTATAAATTTCAAATCTAACGTAAATTATATTGCGTTTGTTAAGGTAGACAGCTTATGATTTTCATACTTGCGGCACTATAGAAATGATGAGGCTGGCCGTGATAACCATTCGAATTAAGATTTTTGTCATCTTGGTTTGGTAAGGCCATAATCCCAAAAATTTTAGCAAATTTTGATTGATAACAAAATAGCGACTGTTATAAAAATTCATCGCCTCTTGATCAGGCATATCTAGCAGCTTTTTAACATTTCTATGTCTTTCCATCATACTATTTTTTAATTTTAGTGTGCAAATAACAAGCGCCTTTTTGTTTTATCTTTTCTTAATTTACAACTCAAAAGATATGCACTGCCAGCTCCTTGCTTTAAATAGTGAAGCACTTCCTTGAACAGCGAAATTAATTAGGTTTCATTTAATGATGTTTAAATCTTTGCATTTATTATAATCATGAAAATAAGAAGTTGAAAATATTAAGTCAAATAAAAAGCTAATTTTCTTAAAAAGTAATAAGTTAAAAACAAAGATTTCAAAAGGAATTGATACCAATAGCTTTAGAAATTCTTTGTTATGTTATGAAATAGATTATGTCCATTGAAACATTTAATATATACAAAATATTTTGAATATAGTATTTTATATAAAATTATATGCATTAGTTGCACAAAGTTTAGGAAAAATTACTTGAAAAAATATTGTAGACATTTTTGAAGAAAGCAGAAAATCAAATTCAATAATTGTATTTATAGTCGCGAAATCATAAATTAGATATGTATATTTTTAGATCCCTGTGACCAAAACAAAATTTGGCTGGTAATAAACAGTGTACTAATGTCACATTAATATCACTCGATACTTGTCAAATATTACAATTACTCTTAGACTATTTGATGTTTCACGTAGAATACTGTAAGAAAAATTATTGCTATTAGTAATTTTCTAATAGCATTAACTCACTACATGATCGTGATTCGTTTTTGCTGTAGATGTAAAAATTGCCATGATTAGCTTGGATAGAAAAGGTCTATAAATTAATTAATTATATCTCTTTCAGATAAACCATTATAATAATATAATATCACTTCAAATTTTATGTAATTCATGATATAAAATCTTCCAGATTCAAATAAAAAGGATCCAGGTTATCCTACCATAAACTTTAAATGTTTCTAACTTTCGACAAATTCGTGCCGTACATTATCATAACTGACACTCGAAGTTTTTTTATTGTCTATCAATACAGATTGTTTTCCTTATTATCTAACCTAACCAAACATTGTACATTAAATTGTTACATGACATCTCTGCGGAAAAGAGATTTTCGCCACTAGCTTGCTATAAAATGAATTTCAGTAAAATCCCTGGGTGATGTTTATTATACATTTTTTGTAAATGTGATCGAGAGTCCCCTATTCGCATATATGCCGGGATCGCTCACTCTCTTAATATATTCCTCCCTCCCCTATACACCTTTTAACAAAGGTAAATCTCCACATAAGTAGGCTACAAAATCTGTAGATAGAGACGGATTGCAAATTTTTATATACGGGCAAAATTAGCGCTTGATAGTTACAATCCAAATGATCGTATCTGTACACACATACTTATTTACTATTAGAAAATCTAAAGATTTCAGTCTCTAGATTCTATCACCTATCGTGATATCCTCATCATATGTATACTTAAAAACTGATAATGCATAAATCTTTATCTATAAATAATAGCATTCAAACATATCAAACGTGAAATAAAAAATGACTTATAATATTTATCAAAAAAACAACAAACAACCTCTTCAATTTCCACAGAGATATTTAGTGTTGCAAATTTTAACATTTTTTTAATACTTACTTGATGGTTTCTTCCAAATCCATACACTACTGAATACTCACAGTATAAATTGCACCAATCATACTAAATATTGACATAGTTATAATATAGTGTGCGCTTTAAATAAATAGATGTGTGACAATAATGGTTTTATCTTTCTTCGTCCACTAAATATTCCTTGTCATAAATAAATATTAGAACTACGTTGACCATATTCAACCCTAATGATAGACTAACAAAAATTTGCACAGTTCCAATCACGTAAGCTGTAATTATTTTAGTATGCATGAAAATTACTAAAATTCGTTTTGTAAGCCATACCAATGTATAAATTAAATATTAATTTCAATTGGAATGATTGACTTTCAATCTCGAATAACGTTGCAAAAATATCCATCTCCACTCGGTTTCTTGAAACATTCTTCCAATTTCTTATACTTTTGCACATAAGCTTGAGCTGCAACGACGACAAACATTCGACGATTCTGTCAGAATGTGATCAAGTTCATATCTGTTTACCTTTTTTTGTATTATCAGCAGTGACAAATATCTCGAACTTATTAAGATAAAATAAAAGAATGTTTCCACACCTCCAATCAGCAGTTCTACATGCTCTCGATGATCAAATACACCGATCACCTACACGAGAATAAAACAATTTGAGAAGGTCTGTGTAATATATACACAGCATCTCAGTCAAATCCTATTAGAAACATGAGTTTTAAGTAAAGCTCAGAGCAAATTTACTGCTATATTTTAATCAATTGTAAAAGGCGATTTTAAACTAATATACAGAGCAATATATGTACACGAAAATACATAATTTACTCACTTGTGGTAATCCAGGAATGACGAGCAACATCGAAAGAATAATGCAAGTGACGAGTTTTGCAAATTTATTATAACACGAAGAAAACCTTGAGAATCTGAAAAATTGCATGCTAATAACAAAATAACAAGAGTTACGATGAGCTAAATAAAGCACATCGGATAATTCCAGAAAAAATATTTCGATCATTTCGCTACGAGAGCTCTTCATGCTATGGCCAGCGCAAAACAGTTTCTGTCCTTCACACTAGAATATTAACGGCCCTTTGAGCATAAGCAATGAAGAGAAATTGCGATTTCTCAGAGTCGCGAGTCAATTTGCATATGAAAACAGCTCTCTTTTCTTTCGTCAAGTCTCTGATCAAAGGGAAATATTGGTGACACGACCGCTAACGTCGGTAATTTTTTTTTATCGCGCCAGCTACTATCAATGAATTATTGATAAGTACCATCATTTATCCATGATGCCCTGACAGCGACGTTTTTATCACTGTCGAGAGATCTTACGGAGTTGTCAAACTACATCCAAGTTACTTTTTATTGCGAACATTACATCAACGTGTAAGATTTACTCTCTCCATGTACGTTTTTAACGCATATCTGGCTTCTATTTTCACTCTGTGCAAATACCGTTTTTATTTTTATTGTATACATAGATGAGTATATTAAGAATAAATATCATAAATATTGCAAATAATGTAGTGAAATGTGAACAAACGAACACGTTCATTAAGTTAATGTAAACTAATGTGTTGGTAATGGAATGATGCGTCGCGTTGAGTGAAGTGGAGGTTTAACATTCTATTAGCTAGTTGATCTTGTGACGTACGTTGATACACTATGCGATATAGGACAAAAAGCTTAATAGTGATTTACCGATGACTAGATTCCAATTGTAGTTCTAGATTTATTATGAACACAAAGTAAACAAGTGAACACATTAAGTGCATTTGAAATCCGAATTTCGGTGGTACTTGAAATGTGACTTTGTTCCATTTCAAACTGATAACAATATTCCATACACACATTGACTTGAATTACAACTCTTGCACATTGGATAAATATTTATCACTAGAATAAATCATTATTTTTAACGTTATTAACTAACTTTATTGAAACAAAAGTAGTATATTTTAAGATACGAATTTGACTATAAGTGAAGGTCTTATCCTGGATTTAATTATTGAACGATATATATATATATATATATATATAACGTCGATGATTGAAAAAGATTCAATTTCGAAGTAAATAATGAAAATATCAACGATCATGATGTAAAATCTTCCAGCTGGCAAATAAAAAGGTTCTATGTGGTTCGCGATTACAGTAAAAAATTTTCTACTATCGATAGAGCATTCGTGTTACTCATTATTATAACGGAAAATAGACGGATTAGATATTCCTTTCTTTAATATATTATTATTCATTGATTTTACATTGTTTTATTTAAATTACTAATTTAACTACTTGCTATAAACCCACACATTGCTGGACACACCTTGAAATCGAATCGATTGTACTGAATAAAGATAAGGTTACAAGGATAGTGCATGTTTCAAATAAATAAATGTAATAGTAAACGCTAAACTATCACTGAGATACCGCATGATATCAGGCGGTTTTATAATCAACACGGGAAAAAACTAATTATTTTCCACTTGAAATCTTATTGGATTATTTTGCTAAGTTCTATGCTTTCTAAAAAATTTAACAAATCAGTGCCTATCTGATATGCATGCTTAAAATTGCACAATTTCGAAAAATTTTGTTTTATAATTGTTTTATAATTACAATTATGAATTACATTTTTCTTAAACTGTTAAAGATACTTATTATATCTCACCCCGAATTAATTATTTTTATTTACATGTAGTCGCATAATAATATTTAAAAAAAAAAAACTTAATTCCTAAGTTGCACACAATGTTCATGTTAATTTGATAAGGCTTACAGTTAGTCTAAAGTTTACGAAAGTTGCGGCATAACGTAATTATAAGTTAATTATAATTACCGTAATTAATCTTACCGATATTGGCAACAATATCTGCTAAAGTAACAAAAAGTAAATAGAAAGGTTTCTATAAGGTTCCCGATCTATTTATTTTAATAGTGAGATAGTTTTTCTCGTAACAGAAAATTATTATGTTTGGCATTTCGTTCGAGTTATTAGAGGATCCTGGGACTTTTGGTACAGTGTATACCCTAAAGTTGAACACTCTCAGATCAGTAGAAAGTGAATGTGCGAAACAGTTTAATATGGTTTTTATAGAAATGAACACGTTGAATCGTTAGCAAAAATCGCGCTCAATTTTTCTATCCAATCAAAATATTATTATAACTATCTGTTATAAGGAAATAAATACTATTTCTGATTACAGCGCTACATGCACCTGAAAGATCACAAGATAATGTTAACTCAAGAAGTACTGTACTCTGAAAAGGACTGAACCCATAAGAATGATTTATTTTGCAAATACTCAGCAATGTCAATTACATTAACATAAACAATACTTTCCCAAGAATGCCAGTGTAAGAGCTGTATTGATAGAAACGGATTCTTTTTTCAATAACCAATAATTTTAAGTACTTTAAGAGTTATCCGGATTAAAAAAATCCCCTTCTAATAAATAGTTATCATTGACGATTATTCCAGGAAACATCCCATTTCTAATAATACAGCTCTTATTTTAAGGGTGCCGTTCCTCTTAAGAAGGTATATTGCCCCATAAATATGTAGATCTATGTTACCGACTGATCTTTCAGGAATATGTATAATCATTGTAATGAGAAATAATATTTATTCTTTAACAGATGGTTATAATATTTTGATTGGATAAAAAAAACTTCGTTAATTTTTGCTATCTATTCAACGCATTCATTTCTATCAAAACCGTATTAAAACACTACGTAGCTCCAATTTCTACTGATCTGACAGTTTTCAACATTTGGAATTATTTCATGAACAAAAATTAAATTACACGGAATTATAAATGAGTTTTGGTATGTTTGCCAATTTTCTTCTATAATTTTTCCAGGTTGATTTTCGTCCATTTCCCTCTGAATTCTTTCATCCGTATTTTAAATGCTATTGTAAAAAGCGTCATATTAATTACATATATATAAACTACCTAGAAATTTTATAAGCAAATAACTAAATGTTATTTCTGATCATTTTCATAAAGTAAAATAAAAATACGGAAGTTTACAACACAAATAATAAAACATTCAATTTGTAAAATTAGAAGTTGTTATACAAAATATTATTCATTTTTAATAATTTCAAGCACAATCGTATATTAATAAGTTTGTTGATTAATTTTTCATGATATACTGTGAATGAAGGATTTTTCATATTAAGACAAATGTTTAAGTAAAAACGTATATAATTTATTCATAGTAAATCGTTATAAAAAATCTTCATAATAGATTTATTGGTTTCCCGTCCATCTCTGACGAAATCACGCGCGGAACTCCCAGCATATGTAGAAGTTTCAAGATCCAAAGTATTGTGTTTCACCTCTATCGACAACTGTTGGTTCAGCTCATCCAGGTTGTGACCTATTACGAAAAAATTTTCATGAGAACACAAAATCAAATATTCATTGTCTTAATAGCTAATCTTACTTAACAATTACACCATGTTAGAGGTTCATAGAGAAAACTCTTTCAGATTTCGATGACGAGAGCATATATAGAAAAAGCGTATATCCGGGTAATATAAAAATTGCGTCAGCGCACGTTCACATTGAACGATTTTTTAATGTAATAAAAAATATTTTGTTTTAGTACCATCAATGGAAAACGCTTTACTCGATTAATTCATCTGAATGAACAAAAAAAAATTGTCGCTTAAGCGCTGTATATAATAAGCATCGCATTATCCGATCAATACGCGAGTGTCTTCTGAAATCGAAATTTTCGGAACGCATTTGTAAACCGAACGATTGATGGATAAACAAGTTGTCCACTATATTACTAAAAAATTATAAATATCTTCAACGATTTTTAACGCCGTATCGCGTAAACCAACAATCTCTGCGACGTAAACTAAAATTTTTGCATGTACCACGATCAGTTGGTGGAAAATCGCATTCACAAAATGAGACGTAATCGACGCGCGAATCGCCTATCGTGTCGCAATGATTTTGTATTATAAATGTGTGAGCTGATGAACGGAGATGCTTGTGCAATAAGAGTATCTCAATTCAAACCAACAACAACTATATATAAAGTTAATTGTGTCTTGAACGAAGACTCATTTGTTATCGGTAAACAATATCATGCTGTATAATTCATCAAATTCGTTGTCATAATTTATGTGTTTAATTGAACAAAAATTAAAAATAAAGTACAAGAAAAGCGATGATATAGTATAATAGCCACTTGTGTAGTCATATATGAGATAATCATTAACCGTCGAAAAATAAGATGCAAATCAAAAAAATCTGTTCATGAGATGTTCATTGTACAACTATAGAAGTCGAAAAAACGCACGCGTATTCTCATTTTTTGTCTCTTAAGTATCCAACATACCTTCGTAATCGCAAAGCCGCTGGGTCGCAAACGCATTCTCATCGCCAGCCTCGCATCGTATATATTTTTTTGTCAAAGAGCGCCCCGCAAGCGCCGTCGAATAGAGCTTTCAAGCGTAATACCTCTTGTGGATTAACGAAAGTGGAGTGAGCTCAATTGTACGCCGCTGAGGTGAATTTATAGCGCTTTGGTAGAGACTACTTTTTTGTTTTGTTTCGGTGCCGAGCTCGCTTCGCATATTCGCATATTGTGCACGCCAACTCAAAGCCAGACGACGAAGACAACGCAGCGCAAAGATTTCAAAGCGCACGCTTTAGCTCAGCTTTTCAACTTGCTGTCGACGCTGAAACTTATTCCTCGATGACTTGGGCTACCTATGCTTCTCTCGACTTTCATTAGTTTTACTCAAGAAACTCAACCGAACTCATTCAAATAAAAATTGCACGTTTATTTTTACAGAAAAATCAAGAAAAGAGACGACAAGAAAAAACTTTGAAAATTGATGTTAGTTATAGAGATGTGGATTAAAGTGCGAACTTGGTAATGACAAGGATAAGGTAATACAATTAACTACACTTCTTAAGGCTAAAAAAAGATACACGATTTCTTTAATGAAAGCAGATTAAGCATTTTCTCTCATTTTATTGAAGATTATTCAGTTTGAAACACTTCTTTCAGTTTCTTACATACATAAAAAAGAAAAGACGGAAATCATACATCAATCAACTCTATAAACACAGTTGTGTCCATAATATCAAATAACACTAAACTAGAAAGTAAAATAATATGAACTCAATTTTCGCTGTTAACACTCTAGATAAATTTATGTGTACCTCTCTAAAGAAGACAAAATTCTTATCTTGCTTTATATAAATCTTTTTTGACCATTACGTTACGTTCGCCGAAACGAATGCTCACATGTGCTTTCCTTTTCTTTAAAGTGTTTACAGTATTTTTTGTGTTTATGTGTCAATCCTCTTGTTTTTTTCTCAAAAAAATCAACAGTATAAAAATGTTAAATTTCTATTATAGAAGTCGAATGGTTTCTGTTCTCGTCCACATTCTGCTCCCACGCAAAATCTCTCGAATTACTCTTCACAAAACTTTTTAATGATTCTTGCATATATTTAATTCGTTATCCACACCCAACCATTGATCTAAGCTCTAATTCGATCGTCAGCTTCGTTTATACAATTAGTGTTGAATTTAGGCATTTATAGTTATATATTACACATGTAAACGAGTGAAACTGCAATAAGGTAAGCGGGCTGGTTTTTTTTTTCGAGAGGGACGTTGTGTATGTATGTAGATTTAAGTTCGCGCACATTAACCGCCTATGTATTTGTTTATCGGCAATTAAAACTTATTTTGCCATGTGTTGCGTGCGTGTTATTTATCGCTTATAAATGTAGGTACTTTCGATAAATTAGTACCTCGGAGGCATCGGTTCTGTCGGGCCTGGGAAGCTAAAAGTTTAAAAAAAATATGAAATCGCAGGATTAATTGTTATGATCCATTTTACTTAGTATAAGATGTAACTTTTTCGTTTGCACTTTTACAACTGTCTTGGATCGTTAAAGAACTTGCAATATTACTTTGCAGTCGAAATCGTACTTTTAATCACTGACGTTTTCTTCGATAATGTTTCCACAAAAAATGGATATAATTTTTTTTCAAATCAACTGTCACGGTTGAAAAAATCAGTGTTTAAAAGTAAGAATATGAAGAACGCAAACACGGTTGATTTAAATAATTTTTTTAAATAAATACAAATTAGTTGCTAAGAAATAAAAAGTAGTTTTTCCTGGGGATGATAATTCATCATTACAATCAAATATTTCAATAACCTCTAAATAAAAAATTTATAGCAATCAACGAAAACCAAATCAATTATGTGTTATTTTTACGAGTCGCTTTTTGGATTGATCAATCGCTTAGAAGTCGCATTCGCAATTTACAAGCTTTTATGTTGATAACGCATTCGGTAGTTCTTTTTGTAGAAGCGCGCTCGCGTAGTACGCATCTCTCGTGAATGAATTTTAGTGTACAGATAGCAAAACCAGCGCATTCCCTTTATCAAAGCTTTGATTTTTTTCTATATTTATGCAAGAATTGGGAATAACCACATAGATATTGCTATGTGTACACTTCGAATTCGTTACATCTTATACTTACTGGAATACAGCAGTAAATTAGTATCGCTTAACGCATTCGTTTTTACGCTTAATCGGAATCAACAGCTTGTCGAGTTTATAGTGACACGACGAAACGCAAAAGAAACGAGAGCGCAAGGTTAATTGTTAGCTTAAAAAATCCTTTTCGCACTCTTTGATCTTTCATAACTTTACATCAAAATGTTTTGCAATACTCATAAACCGCCATTGTATTTTAGTAAGTATAAACTATGTGTTACTTACCGACCACCACCACGTGGGGGTCCATATGGATCTGCTCTTTCATATCCCTCTGTGTACCTATGTCAGAAAAAAAAAAAAAAAAAAGTTTTAATACATAGTATTGAGTTATTGTACTTTCACACATTAAATCAAATCAAATGTAAGCAAGCTTGATTTAAAAATGTTATTTATCAACAAAGAAACTGACAATTTTTGCCAAATGAAGCAATGAATGTGAATCAAGATATTTTTTTAACTAACTTGAAATAATACAAAATTATTGTGTAGAAGCTTTTAACCAGTAATAGCATGCTATTCAGTTTTAAAGAGACATGTCATAAATGTTGCCTTTACTGAGGATTGCAATGGATTAAAACCGCTCATTTTTTATTGTTAAGAAAAACATTGTTTATTTATTATCGATAAATTTGAGACAGTGCAAACAAATGCATCGTGTACAAAAGCCCAGTGAAAATCTTAAATTTTAAAACTCAACGCACCCTCCAACTTGGTATCCACCACTAGGAGGAACAGTACCTCCAGCTCTTCGACTGAACATATCTGCTTGTGGTCCAGGACCAGGAGCATTATAACCAGTAGGTCCTGCAGTATTGTAGTTTGGTGCTCCACTCATTGGTCTACGCAAAGTTAAATTTAATTTTATTATTAACTCATCATTGAATTTTAAATCAAACACCAAGCACTAAGCTAGATTAAATTACATATTGAAATTAATAATACTTTATCTATTACTTCCCTATTACAATACATAATTTAATCTAGCTTGGGAGAACCAAGCTACAAACTGACTACTTTGTTGTACAATACTGTGGCATCAACTTATATTTCAGTTAGACACTTATACATTCAAAACTTACAACATAATATTTTTATGAAAGCAGCAAAATAAATGAAATAAATGTAAGAGAAAAAAAAAAGAAAAAAGAATTATGAAAAGATACCTACCCAACTTCACCATATCCACCGCCATAGCCACTAGCTGCAACACCACCACTGCCATTCCTCATAGGACCAGCAGCTGTTCTGTCGTAATCAGCACGCGGTGCATATGCGTCGGCCCTGCCGGCGGCAAAATTATCGGTGCGACCATATTCGACAGGACCTGGGGCTGCTCTATTGAAGTCACCGGCCATGCCACCACCAGCCACAGAGTAATCACACACTGTTTATCGAGAATAACCCGCTTTAGATTAAAAAACAAAGTCCCTCTCTCTCTCTACAATCATACATTCTTGTACTACAATGATAACCATTGCAAAACAATAACCTACTAGGATGGGGTTGGAATTACTGGGTTTGGAATTGTGATGCATTCAACTAATTAAAGTGTGAACAAGTAGAAAATGATTAATGTCAAAAATCTCGTTTTTGGAAATAGTTTTGGAAAGATTAGTCAATTTGATTAATAATAAGATTCTACTTAGTCATCACTAATCTAACATTTTTGTAAGAATGATTGAGCACAATCATTTAGAAAAGATTTAGAAATAGTACATTACGATACAAGTGCGGGAAAATAGATTCTTGTCTCCTGTGGCGTTTACGCTCGAGCGAAGCGAGGGTGGAAAGGTACACGAGACGAGAAACTCTTTCCCGAACATGTGCCGTACCGTATTTTTTGATACGACGTGTGGAAAGTGCAATTTTCAACGCACGTCTTTTGCTCAGCGTGCGGGAAAAACGCACTTCCCGCACGGAGAGTCGAAAAGAAATAAACAAAAATCTTTATTACTTGGGAATTCTCCTCGATTTGCGTAGTCTGTTCGAGCGCCAAATTCAGCCGTTCTACCATAGTCCTGTCTGCCATAATCGACAGCACCTTGGGGACCATAGCCTCCAACCGCACCACCAGCAGGTCCATAACCACCCATCGGTGCCGTGGAAGTGTATCCCATGGCAGCGCCTCCGACATTCTGACCATAACCACCTCTGTCGTTATAGCCACCACTGAAGTCGTTTCTGCCACCGAAGTCACCTCCACCACGATTGTAGTCTGTGTATCCGCCACCGCCTGCAGCTGTACCGTCATAGCCTACGTTGTGGATCGGTAGCACTGTAATTAATGAACCGAGCGATGCCTCATTGCTTACTATTTAACTTAGCTCGTTTAATTGAGAGGCAGTTAGGCTTTTTTCTACTTGCTTTTCTTTTATTTCATATTTAAGACCCTAACTATCGTCTCGATTCTTAGTCACTTGACTTTTTCAGAAAACAAGTTGGTTTTTATTCGGACTAGTTTTATTGAAATTCTACTCTAAATCTTGTAATGTGGTATTTCGTACGACGAAACATCCGACGATTTATTAAGCTCTCATAACAAGGTAGATTATTACACGGGTTTAAACGTTCGTATAAATGTACAATGATACAGCGAGATGATGTTAGTTTTCTTATACATGACTTATGCGATAGAAACTGAATGATTTTCAAAACTATATGACAATCTATTAATTATAGAAAAAATGATTGCTAAATGATGATAAATGAAAGCCATGCAAGTGATTTGAAAAAAAATTTTTAACAAGCATTAAAAATCATTTTCATGACCAGATGACAAATTATGAATGAAAATGAAAGCTCAACATTTCAGTATATATAATGCCAATATATATGTACAACAACAATGTAAGCTTAGATGATTAAACAAATTTCTTTCATGTATAATCAACTACTTCATATTTTATGATTACTAATGCAGAAGTTTAAACAGTGAGGCTGAATAGAATGAAAAAAGTTACAAAAAATGAGGCTATTTCTATAAGCTACACCAAAATTGGCAAAAAGATTGCCTTAAAATCAAGATGAGCATGCTAAATATTTATTTTAACAAATGAAAAAAGTTTAATGGGGGTAAATATATGATTAGTATAATAAACTACAAACGTTTAAACGCGGGGTAATAATCTACGTAATGAGTTGAAATAGGCAAATCTCGTGCTCGGCCAAAGATGCCAAGATTTGACGTAATGACAAAGAAAATCATCATGATCATTGTCACATGATGCTTTCAAGAGTTAACGGAACGACGCGGTGTATTTCAACAAACCTCTCCTGTCGTTATACGGACCGGGACGAGTATCGCGGCCTCCATCTCGTCCTCCTCTGCCGCCTCGCATGGGACCACCACGTCTGTCGTCTCGACGGCCCCTCGACTTGCCCGTAGACTGCTCGACGTTGATGGTTGCGCCTTTGAACACGGTGTTGTGCAGATTTTTTATCGCCTCGGCTGCATCCTCCTCGCGGGCCATGTGCACGAAACCGTAGCGGTTCATCACATCGCACTCGGTCACCTCGCCGAAGCGCAGGAACAGGTGGCGCAACTCGTCACTACGGCAATTCTCTGGCAGCCTACCCACGAAGATCTTTGTCTTCCTCTGAAATACGCACTCACCGTTAGCTCAACCTACTCGTATTCCAAAACTTGTACGATTTACGTGCATAAAAACAAATGTCTGTCTCTTAATGAATTCGACCATGTTCTTACGTAAATGAAAAAGCATGGTGTCTGTTCAAGATTTTTATTCTAGCTCAACTGTTTAAAAATTAAGCCAATTACATTTTATCAATAAAATAAGATGCAAGACTGTTGAGCTAATATTACTATTTGCTACAATAGAATGACATGGAAAACAACAAAATGTTAAAAGAAAAACAAATAATTTTTAAGTTTTTAAAATCATTCAATTAAACCAAATAAAGTATATTTTTTCTTACCGGTGAGCTGGGTGATACCATTTTCTGAAACAGAAAAAATACAATAGTTAATAATTTTAATATTAGAATGAAAATACTTAAACTACTCCTATTGAAAATTCATTACTCTTAACTCGGTTATAAGCGACATTACTTCCATGTCGGAAGTCACTGATTTTTTTTTGTTATATTTAATTGACCGGCATTTCATTAAGCTAAAATTGAGAAAAGGTCGACAAGCTAACCTCTTCAAAAGCGAACGAGGCCGGGAGCGTACATAACGAAATCATATTGAGGCGGCGACGACGAAAACGATACAAAAACAAGAAATGAACTGCACGCAAACACTATTTTTCTTTTCTTACAGTAATGCCGGCTTATAAAACATGAGCTAGCACGCCAATTGCGCTATCAAAGCAACATCAAAGACGATGTTACCTACGAGTGAACTGAATACGAGAAACAAGCGAGAGCGTATATATGCGCTATATGATATTTAACTATTGATTTTATCGTCGAAGCTGAATCACTTTGCACAGGAGTCCACGTACTCGATTAAAAAAAAAACAATCGTCGACCGCTAAAATAGAATCCACCGTCGAGCTATATTTTTAAATCGTAAAGTAATAAACAGCACGACTGCCATTATAATTACTATTGCAAGTGAACAAGAAGCTTAAATTTCAAACAATATATTTAACGCTTATATAGAGTAAAAGCTAATTTTCTACTTACCAGATTGTTCATTTTGGAGTCAACGAAAAAACAATGGCAAAGTGGAAGATCGTCCAACTGCTTGGTCCGGCGCGTGAGTCAGGCACCTTAAGTGGGAAAGAGATAGAAGAAGCGTAAGCGAGAGAACGACGCGACGCCACAAACACGCGCGCGACACGCACACGCTGAACGAGAGACGGAAGAAAGAGACAGAGAAAGAGAGAGCCAAAGAGGAGCAACGAGGGGAAAGATGCGCCAAACGTTTGTCGATAAACGACACCCTTACCGAGCACATCAACCCTGTAGACATCACGAATTCACATTCATTCGTGGTGTCTGAAGTAATTACTTGTAATAATCGAGTCAGCACTTCCTTTACATCCTTTTGCTCCTACTCCCTTACCGCCCTTTGAAAATTACGGATGCCGGGAATCACTCCTTAAGCGTGTGTGCGTCCGCGCGACTTCAACGAAAAATTTACATCATTATTATTATAAAAAGCTTACTTGCTGGCTCGATGCGACGGCTTTTTTGTGGATTCGGAAATGTATGCGCGCGTGAAAAAAGACGCGAGCACCGTTCCAACGAAAAGAGACACGCACACTTGCTACTGACGAGGAACTACCGCCGCCGAAGAGGTGGACTAATGGCGCCGCCGGAAGTGCTGCTTGCGCTTTCTAGCGCTGTCTCTCTCATTTCCATTGGTCGGCTTCGCTCACTCAAGCGCGCCGCCGCGTGTCTTGTGACGCCGGTTACGAAAAATTTCCAATCCGTAATTTTTCAGTTTTTTACGATCCTATACATGTATAGAATCATTTACACTAATTAAAAAATTGTTAAGATTGTGGTCTTGCATATTTTCGATCCAAACTCTTGGATTAAAATTTTTTTAGGTCTATTTATTGATCAAAGTCATGATTTCTGACGATATTTAGAAACGTGGTAGTGGCGACTGGCGGTATCAAGGTTGACACAAAAATCCGGCCCACATGTGCAATGCTATATATGTAACTGTCATACATACTGCGTAAATGATTTTTCATTGTTATTTTTTAACTTATTGCTTTATAAGAATACCCGCATCAATGTAAGTTAATAAATATCGTCTTAATTAAGTATTTAGAGCTAGAAATTGTTTTGCTCGAACACAATCAATTTTTTTTAAGGTACTGAATTTTTTGTAAAAATAAACTCAACCCATAAAAGTCACAATGATTTTGTTTATTTTGCTATTTGTAATTTATTACTCTTATTATCTTACTCTTATTTATATATTTCTTTTATTCTTTTAATCCGTTTGTTTCGTGATCGTCAGTGACGCGTGAGCGCGATTACGACTCTACCGATAACATCGTTAAAAATAATCTATATATATATATGTTGTCTTGTAAGCCGGTAATAAGCGGCAGCACGAACTTATTTCGGTGTGGAGTCTCTACGGGAGCAATACTTTTTTCTAAGAATGTTGATAATTTTATTTAATTAACGTATTATTTGCTATTTTTTTGTAATCATTTTGAATTACCTAAACAAGTTATTTTATATGTTGTAATTGTGTATACTTAACAACGTTATTATTATAGGAACGTAAACATAGGCTTCGTTTGTAGGTTATGATTTTTGACGAAAAAAATAATATTTTATCACTTCTATCTATACTATGTACAAATTTTTCAAATTTATAATTGTAAATTATATGAAATTAGTTGCCATGATTCTTATAATATTCAAACTTACTTTAGTATTAATCTTTGATTTAATGTCTAATTCATTTAACAAAAATTATTCACAAATAGTTCAAATAACAACAAAGTATTGCTATTGCTACGGATTAATATACAATATAACTAATTGTACTTATTGCTTTTTTATAAGTAGGCAATCAAAATGACTTCTATTATCAAACTGCATGCTATATCTGGAGCATTAGATGAGTCTCCTCCATGTTACATTCTACAAGTTGATGAATTACGCATACTATTAGATTGTGGTTTGGATGAAAAGTTTGACCAAGATTTTATAAAAGAATTGAAAAGGTAAATTCAAGTAACTGATTACATTTCTATTGTATCAATGTCAAAGTATTAATTATAATTTCTTTACAGACATGTTAATCAAATTGACGCTGTTCTATTATCTTATCCTGATCCTTTACATTTGGGAGCTTTGCCATACTTAGTTGGAAAATGTGGCTTGAGTTGTCCTATTTATGCCACTATCCCTGTTTATAAAATGGGACAAATGTTTATGTACGATATATTTCAAGTAAGTACTTTACATATCAGAGAAATCTTTCATATTTACTTTTTAACATAATAATTGACTTTATTCTAGTCTCGACACAACATGGAAGACTTTACTTTATTTACTCTTGATGATGTAGATGCTGCTTTTGATAAAATTGTGCAATTAAAGTATAATCAAAGTATATCCATGAAAGGTAAAGGATATGGTGTCACATTAACACCCCTTCCAGCAGGTCACATGATTGGTGGAACAATATGGAAAATAGTAAAAGTTGGTGAAGAAGATATAATTTATGCAGTTGATTTTAATCACAAGAAAGAAAGACATTTAAATGGATGTGAATTAGAAAGATTGCAGAGACCATCGCTTCTTATAACAGACAGTTTTAATGCAACTTATCAGCAAGCTAGACGACGTACAAGAGATGAAAAATTGATGAGTGAGTAAAAACATTTCTAATAAAAACACTAAATAAGATTTAAAAATTTATTTACAATAGTGTGATAATACAAAAGCTCTTTCATCTTATCATTATCTTATTTTCAGCAAATATCCTTCAGACTCTTCGAGGTGGAGGAAATGTTCTTGTAGGAGTAGACACTGCAGGCAGAGTATTGGAATTGGCACATATGTTGGACCAATTGTGGAGGAATAAAGAATCTGGATTGTTAGCTTATTCACTAGCTTTATTGAACAATGTTAGTTACAATGTAGTTGAGTTTGCAAAATCACAAATTGAATGGATGAGTGACAAACTGATGAAAAGTTTTGAAGGGGCTAGAAATAATCCTTTTCAATTCAAGCATTTACAATTGTGCCACAGTATGGCTGAACTAAATCAAGTTCCTAGTCCTAAAGTAAATAAATATATTTATACGTTGTATGATCAGTTTTATATGTAAGTTAAATTGAATTATTTATTTGATCTTAATCATTTAGGTTGTGCTGGCCAGTACACCTGATATGGAATGCGGTTTTTCTCGTGACCTTTTTTTACAATGGTGCAGCAATCCTCAAAATAGTATTATAATAACTAGTAGGACGTCTCCAGGAACACTTGCCAGAGATCTTGTTGAAAATGGAGGAAATAGAAATATTGTATTAGATATTAAAAAGAAAGTAAAATTAGAAGGAGCTGAGCTAGAAGAATATTTGAAGAAAGAAAAACAAAAACAAGAGCAACAGAAACAGGAGAAAATGTAATTTATTAACGTTTTTATTGAGGTAGTTAATAAAAATTATTTTATCGTGATATATTTTTGCAGGGATACTGCCGACGTTAGCTCCGAATCTGAAGATGAAATAGAAGTAGGCGGTACAAAAGGAAAACATGATTTGCTTGTAAAACAAGAACATAAACCGGGTTTTTTCAAGCAAAGCAAAAAACAACATCCAATGTTTCCATTTGTTGAAGAAAAGATCAAAGTAGATGAATATGGAGAAATTATAAAGTACAATTTCACATTGTTGCTATTATAATTATAATTATGTGGTCATGCACTTATACATATATTTATTTGTAACAGGCCTGAAGAATATAAAATCGCGGAAGTAATGCCTGAGGCAGAGGATAACAAAGAAAATATTGACATGAAGCCAGAAGAAACACCTCAGCTAGCTCCAGAAAACGCAGTCGACATTCCAACAAAATGTGTTCAGAGCACTCGTACAGTTACGGTGAACGCTGCTGTAACGTTTATTGATTTCGAAGGAAGGTCAGACGGCGAGTCTTTGCAAAAAATTTTGGCCCAGCTTCGGCCAAGAAGAGTTGTATTAGTCAGAGGTTCTAAAAAAGACACTGAGTTATTAGCTCAACAGGCGCAAAGCGTAGGCGCTCGTGTGTTTATCCCAGCTAAAGGAGAAACATTAGATGCTACAACTGAAACACACATTTATCAGGTATTTTCAAAAAACTTCTATGAAAAACATAATATAACTGGAGTATCTAGTTCTGAAACTAAAATTAAAAATTAAAATTATATGTAAAACGTTTTTCCCACGTTAAAAGTCGGTGCTAGTGATTCAATACTTTTTTTAGGTACGTTTAACAGATGCTCTAGTTAGTGGATTAAAGTTTTCACGAGGAAAAGGTGATACTGAGGTAGCGTGGGTGGATGCTTTAATAACAGCTCGGGACCAAGTTTGTCGGGACGTTGTCATGGATGATGAAACGGAAGATATGATTGATAAGACTGAAAAGATTCTGACATTAGAACCTTTGCCACTCAATGAGGTAATTAAATATTTAAATCAATTGATTTTTTTTAAAATCGAAACGGTTAATATCCATATTTATTCTTCTTTTCTAGATTCCAAGTCACCAAACTGCATTTATTAATGAACTGAAATTATCAGATTTCAAACAAATATTAACGAAAGCAAACATTAGTTCAGAATTCAGCGGTGGTGTTCTATGGTGTTGTAATAATACTATTGCAGTAAGAAGGGTGCGTATTCTGTTATTTTATCACAATTTAATTAATCCATAAACTAATTTCATAACGGTCATTTATTTCAGCACGAAGCGGGTAAAATAATTTTAGAAGGTTGCCTGTCAGAAGATTATTATAGGGTACGAGAACTATTGTATGAGCAATATGCAATTGTTTAGACCACTAACTCATTAGTTAAAGTTGTATATATGTATTTGTCATATTTTTTAAATATCGCGGAAGAACGCGATCTCTATCGTGTGTAAATTAATTTTTATACTGTATTATAAAACAATTTTTGACAAGAAAAGAAGAATTTTCGCTTGGTATATAGATAAAATATCACGAATATTTCTTCATTCTTCTGGTACCCATACAATAAAAGGATTAATGGGCTTGTTAAAAAGTATGAGATACATTTTTAGGGTCTCATTCTGAGGGCTCTATGATTTAAAATAAGTGGAATATATAAGTAAATCAATAAAATATAAATTTCGAGTACTATGTTTAACAATTTCTGTTTCGAAATCAAAATACCTAATTTCACTCAATTTGGTGATGCATAACTTCTAAATTTCCTTTATTATAATAATAAAATAAAATACTTTAATCAAAATGTTTTTTAGAGTTGTATTTCGACATTTTTGTAGTATATTGTTGTATCATGTTAATCAAAGCATCTTGTGATTTCATGGACAATTTCAATTTTTCAAGTAGATAAGTATTGTCTTTGGTCAGAAATACTTGGCCGTTAGTTATGCAACATGTACATTTTCGGAGATGTGGTGACAAAATTCGAAATGCGAAAAAGCAAGTATCACTACACGGAGAGTATTGAATGGCCGGTTACCGGTAAATATTATTCATCGCACAGCACTGGTCCGCCACCCCAAGTTAGCGGTTAGTAATCTATATTTAGCCAAGCTAATCAAGACGTCAAAGCACACGCAATCAGCTACCACATGCGCGTGTCAAGCCGAGCTCCACGTGTTCACGGCAGAGTTGCCGGTCGGCTTACGTCAAGATTTAAATGCCCCGCCATAGTGCGCGCGCTCGACAGCCCTTCGCCTATGTAGGTAGCTTTCATGCACTATGCTGTAGCGCACACGCGCGCAAATGCCCAAGTCGCCCCGACCGGCTTTAAATGCCCGAGCCTTTTGTGCGAAGCAGCGAGTCCTTGTTCGTTCTCGCTTGTACCCAACGTTTTTCGAGTCCTTGAACAGCTGGCTGTGTAATAGGGAGGCATATGACCTTTTTTTATCTTTTAGGGATGAATCGGAAACAATGACGAAATTAAAATGAGAATCGGAATCGGAATTCTATTGATTTTTGTTTTGCAGTTTGCGTCGATTGAAGCAAGATCCTAAGCAGAATAAACGTAGTGTGCTTTAGAATTGCGATCTAACATCGAGGAAGAGAGAGCAATTACTAATGTCTGCCGTATTTCTGTCGATGTGGCAAATATAAAACTCGGCAATTTTTGTTTTGATGTACGTATAATCAAGCAAAATCAGAACTTAAAATAACCGGCAATAATGAAGCAAGTAAAAATAGCAGCTGCAATATCCAGTCTTGAAAAAGAAATTTTTCGGAGAGCACAGGTCTCGTGAGTTCATCGTACAGCGGGCAAGGTCGTCGTCACGGGCGAGATTTTTGCTCGGGGAAAGCAGCTATCGGCGGCGGGCGCCGACTGCCTGTGAGGGAGCGAGGGGGGAACGTCGTCTGGAAGTGTATCCATTGCCATTGGTTGGGGACCGCCGAGTAGCGATTCTCGCACACTGACACAGCGCCGGCGACGACCTTATATATATACACACACGAGCTTTTCGCTTGCATCCTGCTCTGCTCTCTATCTCTCCCTTGTATCCGTGTGCGTCTGTGTTTATGTGCCAGACGGAGAACGCCGTGTGGCGCCCAGGACCGACATCACCCGGTGGTGTTCTACTTTTTTCACCCTATGCAGTCTTTTTTTGCTAGCATTTGGTTTTGCCCAATGTTATGTGACAGATTGTGAGCTATGATCAAGGTGCTGATTAAGTGCGGATTGCAGGCACATCAAGCTACGTACTTTGCGTACTCAAAAATTCTGTAAACAATTTTTGATACTTCGTGTAGTTTCTCATTTTGGCATATTGTATTTTGGAATGTGAGCTGGAAATTCAAATATGCTTCGAATTCGAGATAAATTATATTAAATTTATCTTAAATTTTTGGAGCACATTAAAAAAAAAACATTTTTGTGCTTTTCTTATTGAATAATATTACCACTGTAGAGATTGTGCAGAATGTAATCAAACATCCCAATCTTAATCACTATTGATAAGAAACCGTCACGTTTTATTGCACAAGGAATAACATAATTACATTGAAAAAAGTAATAAGAAACAACCAAGACAAGAAAGAGCACGTGTTTAAGTAAAAAAATTGCCTATAGCTGATGAACTATCGGGGTAATAGAGGAAAGAAAAAGCCGAGGAAAAAAAGAGCCGACGAAGTGTGTTTCACCGGTGTTGAGCGGGGCAGGAACAGAATAGAGGATGCGCGTATTCAGGAGAGGTTCCAGTCGGCGAATTCGCACGGTCCTGTGCAGATCCCCTTTATCTCAACTTTGTGTGTGTGCACGAGGCCAGGTTTCCCAGAGAGAGAGAGAGAGAGAGAGAGAGCGAGTCGTGAGCGGACCCACTCGCACACCACATGCAAATACATATATATACACGCCCCACCTCCTTATGCCTGCTCTCACACGTACGCAAGCGTATCGTCTGTGTCGGTGTATGTGTCGCTGACTACGAGAGACGGGACGAGACAGAAAGCAAGTGTGTGCCTGTTCGCGGTCTGCTGCCGGCCGGAGTCGTCGCTCGTTTCTGCTCGCTCACGCATTTTTTCATTCTTCCTGTCTGCCTATCTGTCTATCTGTCCGTGCAACGTTCAGTCGACATTTTTCCTCAAATCCTCATTAGTGGGTCCAGTGGGTGTTTGATTTATTATTGTACTTAGTGAGGAAAATAAAATGGCCGGTGAAAAGCGCAGCGTCGACGATGCTTCCGAAGAGCTGCGCCAGGAGTCCGCGATCCTCCTCGACATCGAGGGCACCACCTCCAGCATTAGATTCATCCAGGTATTTATTAGCTGAGAATATGTTAAAGAGTGAAACAGTTCTTTTTCCACATCTGCATATTGAGAATTTTACACGAGCGGAATGAAGCACAAAGGGGAAACCTAACGCTGCTGCATGGCGCCGGGGGGAGACGGCGCGCTAGTGGAAAAGGCCGCCCGGTTTTTGTTGAATTTTCCCTATTATCTCTGATAGTACGTTCAATGCCACTAGCTTCTTAAGCAATTATCGTCAATGGAGACTTTATTAACATGCTAAATCGGTTATTTCAAAGATTGATAGTTTTTTCATCATTCTCTGAAGGTTTTCTAGTGGCGGCTCAAGAAACGACAATGTCGGACGTTGCTGCCATTGAGCTGCTTCGCTCTCTCGCGTTCTCTTCTCTTTCTCTTGCTCCGAGTTTTTTTGTTCCCTTTAATTTCGCCAGCCTTTTAAATGGAAATCACGTATAACGCTTCATGGGCTGTGCTCGCTCGTAGGCATACCAAGCAAATTTGAATTTTTTTTTTTTTTGTTTTTTCAAAAATTGATTTTTGTATCGTAAAAAGTATTTTGTGTGAGCAAGATATTATTTATTGAAATATTGAAAAAATGTATTAGATTATTTATATAAAAAAATTTAATTGGAATGGTTACCTTCGTGTATCAGCATTGCACGCTCGCGAGAGTCAAAGAAGAGCAGAGGAGCCATTCTGTGTCTAACGGTTTCCGTATGAGAAGCCACCCCTCCCTTTCGATAAATCTTCTATACAGTTGATTTTTTTTCATTTAGCTTTATTATATGTAAAATATGCTGAATGTCGGTGTTCATTTACAAAAGTTTGTCATGAAAATGTTACCAATAACTATTTAACAATCAAACTGTTACAATTTATTCAATGAATTTTTCTTCAAACCAAATCGTATTATATTTACAATAAAATATTGACCATTATACAATATTTCATACAAATTGTAGTAAAATTGAACAGACATATAAACTTATTTGTAAAATAGAATTTTAAATATATTTCATATGCAAATTTCACTTTACTTGACTCTATACGTTATATTTTATTAAAAGCAATTCGATTTTCAAAATTTTATCTGCTATGTTGACTGTTCAAATAATTATATTATTAATGAACAGTCAGTACTGTAAACTTGTTTTATAATATTGCAATAATATTGCAATTTAGACTTGTAAAAAATAGAGAGAAAAGAAAAAAAAGACTGTTTCTAAATAAATAAAAAATGTATTGTGTTTCACTATGTGGCCATTATGTATTGTACTTTTTACTATAACATATGAGCTTTGTGAAACTTAATATGCAATGTTTTGATCTTTCTCTTTCCTAAAAAAATTAATATTTTACCATTTTATCAGGTTATCGTAAAGTTATGTTTTATCTTTAATGAATGATTATTGATTTTCATTTTGTAGGATACACTTTTTCCATACATACGTGAATTTTTGAAAAAACACGTAGATGAGAAATGGAATGACGAAGAGTTTAAAGCAGACTTTGCTAAATTAAAGGAACAGGTATGTAAAAATATTATATATGTTCAATCAATTGAAATTAACTGTCAGGTTTATATATCTCTTTGCAAGTTGATAAACTCTAAGATCAAATTTCACAAATAAACATTTTTCACAAAGTAATTTTAATCTGTAAAGTTATTGTTTTGTTTAAATATGTTATTACTATTAAAAATTACAGATGTTTCACTAGTTTTATTTATTATATTAATATTGCTGTATTGATAATCATTTTGCTATGTCAAAGAATATCTACTCGAAAATTCAGATGCTCCATTTTTATAAAAATTGATTTATACAAGGCCAAAGAAGATGAAGAGAAAAAAGTCGATGGATTTGTACCCATCAAAGAAGATACCGAGGAAGAGGCAAAAGATACTCTAATAAAAAATGTACTCTGGCAAATGGATAACGATCTTAAAACTGGTGCACTGAAGCGCTTACAAGGGCATATGTGGAAAGCAGCTTACAAGCCTATGAAAGGCCAGTAAGTAAAAATTATATTTTTAATACTTGTACTTTTCAATTACTTCCAATGCTACAAAGTATTAAGATGTGGATCTGTGCGAATATGCATATTTAATTTGCAAAATAAAAACAATTTAATAATTACAGATAAAATAGTAAATAGTTAAAACAAGAATATAAAGGGTTTAATAAATTTTTTCATAGTAATTGTTAAAAATTAGATATAGGTTAATCATTGAACTAACTACGTAAATCATTTAACTTTAAAAGAATGGAAACAAAATTTTTAACAATTAAATAGGCTGAATTCATAAAAAGCTTTCAAAACATCATTTTTGTGGATTTTGTATGTTTAAATTTCCCTTCTCTTTACTTTTATTAGATGTAGTATTTAAAATTCTCAAAAATGTACAATTTCATTCACTTACACTGTAAATGTTGTTTTCTTAATGCTGTACCACTTTACTGTTGTATCACTAAAATTCGAGTTAATCGACTTTGTATCACAAGTAATTAAAAAATATATGTAAATAAACTATCTTAGAAATGTTAGTTACATGATGATTTCTATGACTTGTCCCAGGCACTAATTTCTGAATATCACACTAAACTTTTATGACTTAGATCAATCAATTTTATTGAAGTTAATAATAAATTATTATATTAACTGTTATTAAAACTAATTTCAATTTTACCAAATGAATTTTTCATGATTTTATTATGAATTTTTATTAATTCACTTGTTTCAATTTTTAGTGTGTATGATGATGTTCCAAAGGCTTTTGATGAATGGACAAACATGGGTAAAAAACTTTACATCTATTCAAGTGGAAGCGTTGAAGCTCAAAAATTATTGTATGGAAATTCAATTCATGGGGATTTGCTAAAGGTAAGTAATTTAATATATCCATTGATGAAAATTTTCTAAAATTTTAATTTCTAATATTCATTTGCAGTACATCAGTGGTCATTTTGATACGACTGTAGGCCCTAAACAGGAAGCTGATAGTTATAAAAATATTTTGAAAGAAATTAATTTGGAGCCCTCAAATGTATTGTTTCTCACAGATGTTATAAAAGGTATAGTTTTAGATTAAATACTACTTCGTATTAAGTAAGCAATTTTTGATAAGTCCAATTAGTTTACTCTGTCTCATAAAGTAAAATTTTGTATTGTGTCTATGAAAAGTAAATTAAAAAGTTCTTTAAAAAAGCTATTTTCTTCAATAAAAGTTTAAAAATTCACTTAACGACTCTATAATTATTTATTAAATTGCTCATTGGTTGAACTTCTTATTTAATTAATTGTGTTGTATATTCGTAAATAATAAAATAACTACTATTAATTATACTTTAACTTCAAAAATAAAATAAAAATAAGTCTAAATTTTTATAATCCAGCATGCATTTTTTCGGTTAAAAATTTTGTTCTAAAAAGTTTTTTTTATCATTCCTTCTGATTATTCTATTATTTTTTTATATAGAGGCTCAAGCTGCCAAAGAAGCTGGTTTGGCAGTAACTATTGTTATTCGAGAAGGAAATGCAAAGCTAACTGACGATGACAAACTTGCATTTAAAACTATTCAGTCTTTTGCAGAATTAATTTTTCAATCGACGAACAAACGTCAGAAACTATGTAATGATGAAGAATCTAAAAAAAACGATACCATCAAGGAGGAAACAGCAGTATCAGGTTCAGTCAATAATGAGCCCATGGATACATCGGATGACGTTAAAGCTACCGCTGACGAAAAAACAACTGATACGACAATCGATGTAAAAGTAGAAGAATTAAATGTAGAAAAAAAAGTTGAAGTGGAGAAAAATGTAGAGTTAAAAGAAAGTGAAAAAGAAATTACTCCTATGGAGGAAGATAATAAACCAGAAATAAAGACTGACGCTGGTATGAAGACTGAAAATGTTGAAAATTCAATCGAAGATAAAACTAAAGCTTCTATATCTGACGAGAAATCAACTGTTGATAATTTTGTTGCAGAGAAAAACTCGATAGAAGTGGAAAAGGAAAAAACAATAGAATTAGAAAAAGAAGAAACGATAGACGCAGAAAAAGATAAAACGATAGAAACTGAAAAAGGAAAAACAGTAGAAAAAGAAGAGAAAAAATCGATTGATGTTGCGAAAGAAAATGAAAAAGTATCTTCATCTGAAGAGAAAACGCTACAAACCGAAGTTCCAGAAAAGACTGAAAATAAAACGGATAAAGGTATCGAAAAACTAACAGAGGAAACTCCAGATAAAATTGCGAACGAGGCAGCTACCAATGTCGAGAAAGAAACAAAATCGGAAGAAAAGGAATTAAAAGAAAAAGAATTAAAAGAGAACGGTGAATCCAAAATTTCAGATGCAGAACAAAACAATAAATCCGCAGATAATAAAGTAGAAGAAATTGAGAATAAAGAGAATGTACAGAGTGAAAATATTGACGAAAAAGTTGAAACTAAAGCTGAAGTTGCTGAAGAAATAAAAGAAGCAACTACAGTAGAAAGTCCTGATAGCAGTGTAAAAAATGAAAAAGAAAAAGTTTCAAATATAGAGTTGGAAACTGTAACAGAAAAATCTGAAACCAAAACATTGAATGGTGCATCGTCAAATGGTAATTTGAAAAATGATATTTTAGATGAAAAAGTTCACGCTAATGGAATTAACAATAAATCAGAAAAGATAATAGAAAATGAGGAATCAGAAGAATCGATCAAAGTAAAAAAAACAGTAGCAGACGGTGCCGGTGACACTGATGTAGTCGTACCACCGGTAGTAGCTGCAACATCTTAATTCGATGCATTATTTGTATTATCGTTTAATTTTACAAAAGTCAGTTACACTTTCCCATAATTTCAAACAAATACTTACACTACTGTCAAAACCACCATTTAATATTCATATTTCGTTACTTTTTTTGTTTCGTTAAAAAAAATATGTTTGTACTCTTGTAAGAAAATGGATATTTTATTTTTATAAAGAACAGGATTTTTTACGTTCATCCATATTATTCAAAATTAATGCATAATCAAAAATAATTTAATGAGATAAGTAACGTAATATTTGTGCAAAACAATTGTGAAACTGACACATGTTATTGTACAAGTATTTGCTCTATTCCAATTCCAAAATAACCATAAATTCAATCATTACTACTCAATCCAATATAAAGAGTATCAGTTTGTGATTTTGAAAAGTAACTACAAAATGTTTCTCTAATTGTTGTTCATTTGATGAAAGGCATAGAAATTTAACAAGAGATGAAAAAATTCAGCGTATTTCAACTTCGGTAATCTTTTTGACTCAAAAATATAGCTTGAAATGAAAAGTCACAATATTTTAATGCGTAATAAGTTTGACATTTAATAGTTTATTTTCTTAACGCTTAACAATGTGAAAAGTTTTTCTCTAGCTTTTTGTGATTTTTATATTCGTAAAACTTTTTATCTTGTGATACTGTGGACCTTTTTATATAATGAAATCACATATAGTACCACGTAAACCTCCATGTAATAATTATTTTTTCTCATAATATATGAAATCACATTTAAATAGTAACGCTTTTATTACAATTAAAAAATCAAAATTAAAATTAAAACGGTAAACTTTTCAGTATCTTCAGAGAAAAGGTTATTTTTAGTTCATTGTAGAATTTATAATGATTAATAGCGAGTTTGTTATAGTCTCAAGGATGGTCGAACTTGTCATTCGCTGTGAAATAATTAGTAAACGTATTGACTTCAACTTGTCAATATGCAATTAACACTGTCATTAATTTCATAATACTAGTAAGCAAATTAAAAGTTTTTAAAATAGGATAGAAAATCCCATTACAATGCAGAGTAAGCTATATTAACTATACTCTGTGCCAAATACTTTTAACTTGTATTTGCATTTAATGCTTAAATATCTCGGAGATTGAAAAGCAGTAATAATTTTTTATATGTTAAGTTTTCTTACCCTGTTTTACATTTTTGTTTCAATTTTTTTTAAATACTCAGTGAAGACAAACATATTTTTAAGACTGAATCTGTAGTATGTCGCGGAATTTATGAATGTAGACTGTATCGAATGTTCTTAGTGGTCTGTACTTAAGAGAATCGCATTTTTTATAACGAGCAACGAAAAAGTTTATTTTAAACAGAAATGCGGAACGGGAAAAAAATAATCGTGAAGTGTTAAAATGGTCAATTTATAATGCTTTGCATAATTAAAAATGGGTACTTTGTCAGAACTGGCTTCTGTAACTTGCTATTTTATTATTTTTTTGAACATATCTATTTTTAATAATTGACATGATATTTATATCGTCTAAGATTCAAGTTGAGTGTGTATTTTTTTGTAACTTATTTTGTGACTTTCTACGTAAAATGGTTCCTGAACTTTCGAATACGATGTGAATGCTCGATGAACTTTGTCATACGTGAATGAGACAAAAAATCGAACAAAAATTCTACGATTACGACTTCGAAGTAAAAACTTATTCGATTGACTCGTCGTATTGATTTATTGAATAAAACATTCCTTCGAACAAATTGGTCGATCTTGAGTAATTTGATAACTTACTGCCAATCACTAATGTTAACAATACTCTTTATCACTAAAGGCAAAATTACAATTATTAGGCGTTGCCTGCCAACTGACTTTCACGTCATCATCTGATATCATCTTCATATCATTCATTCAGTATCTGCGTCAATAGTTGAAAGCTGACAACTAATAATTGTAAGTTTGTAAATAGAATGTATATTGCTCAATTGATAATGCACTATTTCAGAGTTTCAATCCTCGATCGATTATTACTTCCTCCTATACAATAAAAATCCAATCAAGCTGTTGCAAAGAGTTTACTGTGATTTATTTTTTGAAAAAGATTTCGATAGACATCAAAGGAGCCTTTTAATAATGCAATGATTTTCTGCATTCTTAGTTTAATGATATTATTTATTTTATGCCCGATCCGACTAACAATTTTTGGTACTTTGTAGGTAGCGCTTAAGTAGTATTTCAATTGCGAACATCAAACATTTGTATACGATATTCGTAAAAAATTTTTTTTAAATTTTTTACTTCTATTATTTATGTAATTTTTCTGAATAGAATTGAAAATAAATTTTCTCCGCTCGTAACGACAAAGGGAAATGTATGCATTTGTCTATTTTCCTATCAAATATCCTATCAAATTTTTCAAATATTCTTATATTGTTTTTCATTTTTATTAACGTAAATCATTTCAATATAAGACTCACATGTACGTTATTGAATAAGTATTGTAAAATAGTACTTGAATTCACCCCTTCTAATAAAAAAAATTACAATAAAAGAATATGAGACGATCAGTTCATTAAATATTTGTATAATTACTAATTCCCCTATCAATTTTTATTTCTCTTTTCTTTTAGATTTGTACATTAAATATTAATTTAATAGACGTATTTACTTTTAAGTAATAATTGCATATTTACTTCAGAAATTTCATCTGATAAATATGTTTACTTACTTATCGATCGAGTATTATTACGATAGCGTTCGCCTATTCGTTCATGTATTCCAAGATGGCGACAGTCACGCGGTTTTCGTGCATGGTATTTCGTGTTTGAACTTGCGTTGGTATGATTAATGACCAGTACATTTTATTTGTTTTTATATTTAGTGTAATGACAATTACATCAAGATATAATTATACAGAACACTTTCGATGTGGTACTATTAGAATAATATAAATATGCAAAGAAAAACAGCAACACTGCATAAAATTAAATAACATTTCTTCAATGTGCATACATACTAGACTCCTTCCTTTGTATCCGACATTTAATTTTTTGTAGATCGAAGAAAAAAATGCTCAATTTTGAGTGATTATATAAAATTTGGATACTACCTTATCCGTAAGTAATCGCATACCCATACTACAATATTTTATTTTCTCCTTTGTTGAGGCAGAAATTATTAAACTTGTAATCGTGGCCTGTATTAGTGATATTTTGTTCTTTTGATTTTCAAAAGAAGTAATAGTTATTATCTTTCTTAATAAAATATACTTTCTACGTGTTTAGGAAAATGTAAAGAAATAATTCATAGCGTTAGATTTTACATTATTGTGGTAACAAATCACAAATTCCCCGACAAAAACACCGGTGTGTGAAAGAATACACAAAAGATAAGTTATAAATACGGAATATTTTTTGAACTATTACACGTTAAGATAAACCCAGGTGGTACATTTAAAAAAAAAATATATATATATATTAAATTCTTACCGACGAGTTACAATTTTTATAACTTCAATAGTTTTCTAACTCTGGTTTAATTGATCGGACTTGTAAATGTTTTACATTACATATATGGCACATCTGTACAAGCTAATTAAAGCTCTGTGTGTGTGTGCATGTGCGCGCGCGCGTGTTTCTATGTACATCGAGTGTTGAACTATTTAATTAATACTAAAAAAACGAAAAAGGGATCCGATTTTCGTCCTTTGATGTTAATTGTGAAATTAATAATCAATAGATTTCAAATTCGTAAAAAAGAATTGAAAATTATGCGAAATAATAAAAATTTAATTTTCAGTTAGAAAAGAAAGCACTAAAAACCTGAGTCCACTCAGGAGTCAGAATCAAGTGCGTCACTCGTTATTGCTGTGATTGTATACAGTACTACACATGTTTCAAGTAGATTCTTGTCTCGTGTGAGGTTTGCGCCCGAGCGAAGCGAATGTGGAAAGGTACACGAGAGGAGAATTCTTTTCCGAACATGTTAGGTAATGTACTATTATATCGCCAAAGGTTCGATATCTTGTATGTCACATTACTCTTTGATTGTTTCTGTACAAAATATTCATGAAAAATACGTAGACTTTATAATTTTTTAACAGATAGTAAATATCTAATAAGCAAATGCAACAATAAGAAAAGTGGAAAAAATTCTAATTGTTGCTATCTCACGACAATGTTCTGTAAAATAAAGTAACGTCTATCATATTAAAAATTACCTTTAAAAAATGGCAAACGAGAATAATTAGTTACTCTCAATATGGAAATTAATCGATTATCGTCACTGATTTATAACTAAATTATTAGTATTTTAAGTCATTATTTTTCCATGTTATGAAAGAAGTTTATTTTTTAATATCAAAGAAGCTAATCGCAAATTTTTTATTTCGCTTTCATCATACTGTTAATTTATTGATGACTACCCTAACTATATTTCACATGCTTTTTTTATTTATTAGAACTGGTACAGCACACGTTAACAGTTTTTATATTGCATCATTACTTCAAGAATTATATATCTTAAAAAGCTACTAGTTATTCATAATAAATTAAATTTGAAAACTTACAACATGAATGATTTACGTAAAAATAAATTATCGAAACAGTTAAGAAAAAATTTCAACCATATTAATAAGAAAGTTTTTTGTCAACGTAATTTTTAATTATGTTATTTTTATTATTTTTTCCAAAAGACAATTCTAATAAATATTGTGATCTTATTCTAGATATTGCAATGTAAATTCATTCATATTTGAAATCATCTCTTTCGAGATCTATACCAATGTAATCAAATGTTTGACCTCGCGATGTGACAATAGTTATTGTAAATGCTAATTTAATTGAAAATCTAATCTAATAGAATAAAATTAGGCGTGTAAAAATGCTCCTTATTAATCGTAAAATTACAGTTATATCGTAACATTTGTCAGAGCAATCTCAATGTAAATCTAATTATTACAACACAAAATAAATCAGCAAATTTGTTAATTAATCATATCCACTTTTAGTAAATATAAAACACCATTTCCTTCTTTTAACCAAAAACTATTTGTAAACTAACGACAGCAACACTGCGACCTATATAATTTAATTATTTGAATAAGTTTTTTTTAATTAGAAAAAATAATACGTAATATCGATCTTCGGAGTAATTTATTTAATTCTAAAACATCTAGTCGCACGACGTTATGAAAGACTTCACAACGTCCGGTCATTGTTTTTTTGAAGATGGAAATTATCTAAACTTTTATTCAAATTTATTCAAAGATTTTATTCAAATGAAAAATTAATAAAAGAAAGATATTTTACTTCCATTCTTGGCTGAGCGACGAATGCGTATAAGCATAAAAATATTAATTAGTACATTAATAATAAGTATCAATTAAGATATTGATTGTATGGACTGAATCATTCATTAATTTAGTTGTTTTGACTATGTCTTTTAAAGTCAAACATATTATCTTCAGTATACGCGATTGATTAATGTTCCAAATGATAAAATCTTTTATTTTAAGATGAAGTTCTAAGAGTTTTATTCTGTTTGTCATATATTTTTATTATCTTCTTCATCTCATTCTTCGGCTGTGCTCATCAACTACATAAATTCAAATCTAAAGAAATATGCATATATAAAATAATTTTGTTGGGATTAAATAAAGGTAATTATTAAATTGTTTACTTTTCAAAAATCTTTTCAATAATAATGTCCAGTTTTTAGAAAGAAATTATTGTCCTTAGATAGTGAAAACAAATTCTAAATTTGCTGCCTTCTTAAAATATTTCTTTACATTACAATCATTTTTCAAATAAAATATGTTGTGTTTGAATAAAAACTGTTTTCTGAAATATTAAGAAAGATAGTCTCATTCTGCTTTATACTGGAAAAAAGTTCTTGAAAGAAATTTTAGTTATAGAAAGTAAATCTTCTTGAGTGAAAATTAAGGAATTAGTGTTGACTCATTAATAAATAAAAGCACAGAAAATTATAGATAAATCTATACGAACTTGTAAGCATTGTCTCGTAGCTATTTCATAGGTCTGTTATTTCAGGACTTCATAACATAACAGATCTTAGAAAAGCGTCTTCATTAAATCATTTCTATTTATAAATTCTTTAAAAACTCAAAAATATTTTTTTAATTATTGAATTTATCTTACAATTTTCTGACATGTATTTCGAAGCATTTTATTAATAAACAAGTATTAATATAATTAATTATCTAGTAACAGAAAAAATACCATAGTAGTATTATATGTGCGTACGTTTATATGTGCATTCGTTTTTATGGTTAGTATTATTATTATTTTATTATTATTTTTTTTGTGTAACAATAGGTTAACCAAGTAAGATGATAATCGATTACATTGGATTTTGTCAAAAATTAAGTAATATGTAGTCTTGGATGTGTAGTCTCCCATATTCAAACATGTGTTTTTACACCGGTAATAAAAGTTCTTAACTGCTTTTAAAAGTATTTCTTTTGAGCACCATAATATAGTGTAAATAACACCATTTTGGATTGTTAATGTTGAACGTAAAGTTAATTATATTAATTCAATGTATATTAATTTCTCTGCCTATGTTTGATTTAATAATAATCAAAAGTTTTATTTCTTCATCTGAATTTAAGTAAAAAATTTTTCCTAAATTTAGTCGTTTATATATTACGAATAAAGTAAAAATAGTAGCCTAGCGCTTCCTAGGTTAACCTACGTGCACAGCATTAAAAGACTTGTGTGTTATAAAAAACATTGTTTTATGCAATTATTAGATTATTGAACGTTCAGATCAAACGAAGGATCTTTTTAAAGTAAATTACCGCGGAAACTTTTCCGATATTATAGCCATGGTGTAAAAATTGCAACATTAATGGTTTATATATGAATAAGCAGTAGATTGAATTTACCGTTTAAATATACATATTCAGTTAAATTTATGAGTAAAGAATAATATTTTTTTATAAACTATTGTATTACATTTTACATAATATTAAAGATCTATTTTCAAAATAAATGGTAATATATTGGTTAACTTAAATAGCGGTTCCTATGTGATAAGTGATATGTTTCTGTTTTGTAATTTTTCAATTAATATCAGTCAAGGTTTTGACGTCTCCTTGAAAATAGTAGATTTTAAAGTTGAACCCAAAATTGAAACTTTCTAACTTTATTAATTTTTTTATTAACTAATTTTGGTTTCCATCGTTCATAAATCATATTTGAAATGTATATCAACTATGTATGATCGATGTTCGATATGTTTATGTGAAATGCTTGGTTTTACTTTTAATATGAAGACCACTTTATTGACCCAAGAAGCGAAACGGGACTGAAATAGAATCTTACAACTTACGTGGTCGAGATCTAATTCTCAGGTTTTAAATGG